TGAACCCTGAAATAGTATTTTAAAATCTGATTTGCTGGCCAGCCTCCTAGCCTAGCAGTGAAGTGAGCCAGATCCTACATGGCTAACCACAGTTTGAATCCTGGCTTGAAAAATATGCCAGGCATGTGTGCGCTCCAGATCTCCACAGGATGTAGAAATGGAGACAGGTTGCAGTGTGACTACACTCCACTGGGGCATGCTTTCTCCTCTCTCCTTTGCATATAGCCCTCTGGCAATCGAAACATCACTCTTATTTGCTCTTCAAGCTCTATTTTATAAAATGCAGACTTACTTGATTTGAGAACGCACACATACTATGGAGGAACATTAATGAGAAATGTCAAAGTCATCATCTGCTTTAAAAAATACACCAGAGGCAGGGGCTGACAGGTGGCATAGTGGTTAAGGTGCTGGATTCCCACATGGCCAAACACGATTTGAGTCTGAACCTGGTGGCTTGAAAATCACACTGGGCATGTGTGTGTGCATGCCCAAAATTGCAGGAAGAGAATGGAAGAGAAGGGATTGTGGCATGGCCATCCTCCTAGGGGGGATTTCTTGCTTTCCTTCTCTCCATATCTCTCTGTCCCTCTCTAGCAAGCACATGCGCCCTATTGCAAAAACCACACACACACACACAAAAGGCAAAAACTGAAACAAAACACACCAGAGGCTCATGGCTCGCCTCCTTAAACAGGCCGCCGTGCTCTCCAGGCACAGACAGAGGCAACAACAGGCACGGCTCACCGATCCCGCCTCTGCGTCTCAGGCCCCCAACTCTGGGCTGTGGTTAGGGAGGGCAGGAGGGCAGGATGGAGCAGTTCCAGAGACCCCACCTGTTTCTGCTTTTGTGCAGGAAGAAGCCCCACCAAGGCCCATTTGGGATCCAACCCCATCAGCAGCGCCACTGGCTCCTCCCAGGGTAGCTATCGCAGTTACCAGGGGGTCATTGCCACCTCTCTCCTGCACTTGGGCCAAATTGTCCAGGAGGCCCGGGATGGGGAGGAGGCAGGCCAGGCAGTTGAGCCGGTGCCCGGTGTTGTGCACTTGCTGCCAGCAGAGGGGGCCACCAGCGATGAGGGTGAGAAGGACCTCTTCATCCAGCCAGAAGACGCAGAGGAAGTCATCGAAGTCACCAGCGAGCGTTCCCAAGAGCCATGTCCTCAGTCCCTGGCTGATGCAGCCGTTGAAGGGTCCAGCAAACAGAAAGGCATCCTGGGTCATGAAGAGGAGGATGAGGAGGAAGAAGAGGAGGAGGATGAGGAGGAAGAGGAAGAAGAGGAGGAAGAGGAGGAAGAAGATGAAGAGGAAGAGGAGGAGGAGGAAGAGGAGGAAGAGGAAGGGGAGGAGGGGTCAGCCCCAGATGTAATCTTTGAGGAGGGTGCCTCCCATGCCTCTGTCCAGCAGGCCCCTGAGCCTCCCAGCCCCAGGCCGGAGTACTCTGTGGTTGTGGAGGTCCGCTCCGACGAGGACAAAGAGGAAGACTCCCGCTCCCAGAAGTCCGCAGTCACCGACGAGTTGGAGATGTACGATGTGCTGACCCGTGGGAACCTGGGCCTCCTGGAGCAGGCGATCGCTCTGAAGGCGGAGCAGGTGCGTGCAGTCTGCGAGCCGGGCTGCCCACCCACCGAGCAGGGCCAGCTGGGCCCTGGCGAGCCAGGGAAGGCAGCGAAGCCCCTGGACACCGTGCGCAAGAGCTACTACAGCAAAGGTAGGGCTGGCGGCTGCCGGGCCCCGACTCCAGACTCTCACCCCTCTGTCCAGGGACACAGGCCCTAGCTCCTCACGTGGAGATGTAGGCTGGGAGAGACGTGGCTGGGCCAGGGGCACAGAGAGGCAGATGGGGTGAATGCTCACATGACAGACCCTGGTCTACTGTGGGCGATCTGGAGAGAAACAGCCCACACATGTGGGAAGGAAGGAGAGCAGGGGTAGGGACCACGCTGGTGGTGGGGACTGTCACACTGGACTGCCTCAGTCCTGGAGAGGGGTTCTCTGCAGCCGCTCGGTCACCCAGACCCCCTTGTGGGCTAAGACCAGGATAGATGGCCCTTGCCGTCTGGAGGGACCAGCCTGCTGCGGGCTCTGTGCTGGCCTCTGGATTTCGCCCTGCGGTATTTGGGGTGTGGAGGCAGCACCCCTGGCCTCTCTGACTGGCTGCGGTCCAGTGACAAAAGTCAGGCCAGGTTACAGGGAGGGGCTGGGAAACAGGAGGGCTGGGTCTGAGGACAGGCTCTGCATACACCATTGGCTACATCACGGCCACTCGTGTTAATTGGGGGTCAGGGCCCGAGAGGGGCTAACCACGTCCTGCTGATCTTCCGTCTCAAGTACCTTGGCTGGTCCCTGAGTGAGCCAGCCTAGCACGTCAGGGAGACAGGGCTTGAGCAGGTCAGCTCTGACTCTGACGGCCTCTCTGGGCTCAGTGCTAACGATGCCTTTGCTTGGACACCTACCCTCTGTCCTCCTAAGACCAGGGAGCTGCTGTTGTCTCAGTCTCTCTTCCCACTCTTGGTCAGTCCTCTGCTGGGATGGACGTGGTCAGTGGCATCCTTGGTGCTCTTCCCTGACCACTTTCCAGGAAGACTTAGCTGAGACTGGGGAGTGGCAGTGCAGACATCTGGGTCTTGGGATGTGGGGACAGGAGATGCAGCCAAGGAAGTGCAGAGCCAGGAGGTCAGCAGAGGCATGAGGACAGGTTTTTAGGAAAACCCAAGCTTGGGGACAGACACGGCCTATGGCTCAGCAGCTTGGGGACCCAGATTTGGGTCAGTGGTCAGCTCAGGCCAGGAGCAAAAGCAGACACAGGGCAAAGGTGAGGCAGACGTGGAGACAGGAGTGGGGCCTGGCGTTCACTGGTCTGGGTACGGCAGACTTTGGTGGGATATATGTGGGACTCAGACACACGACAGGCTCAGGGCCAGGTACGGAGGCAGCCCTCGGGTGATGCGTGGTGTCCTGAGTCCAGGGGCAGATTCTGGAGGTATGGACACCGGGGACAGAGCTGCAGCGTCTGGGCCGAGAAAGCATGGTGGTGGCAGGCCAGGACATGGCTATCTCCTCGCCCAAGATGTGGTGTTTTAAAGTCCTGCCACTAGGGGCGGATGCAGAGGCTGGGGCTGGTGTTGAGCACAGGCTCAAGAGCCCCTGGGATGCCCCTTTCTGGCCGGATGGACGAGAACCTGGCGCCTTGCCTATGTGGACTCGGGACAGGGCAGCAGGGCCAAGGTCCTTCCTCCAGAGCTCCCTGCCATGGAGAGATTCTGTGTTCATCTCTGTGACATCTGTGCTCCTCCGAAGGACACAGCTCATACAGGAGTCTCCGAGATGCTGGCCCTGTTCTGTGGACCCTCTGTCCCTCCACCTCCATGCTCAGCACTGACTCACCTTGGCCTGCACATAGACAAGGTCCATGACAGCCTGGGCTTACACGTCTGCCCAGGCATTGAGTGGCGAGACAGCCCTGAGCACACCACCTCACCCCTTGTCTGCCCCAAATCCTAAGGGTCCTCTTGGCAGGGACTGTCCCGCAAGGCTGGCCTGTCTCTACACAGCCTCGGCATGAGGGAGGAAAGAGGACTCAGTAGTGTCTGGTTGTTCTCAAGGGAGTCGCACACCCTGCTACTCAGGGTAGCTCGGCAGTCTTGGGGCTTTCCCAGAGTCCCAGTGTGGACAGTCCTCTGGGCACTTTGCAGTCCTGAGCAACCTTGAGCCCTCTCAGGCTCCTGAGCAGTCTTGCCTCCCTTTTCTCTGGACAGCCAGAGGAGGGGTCCTTCCTGATTGACTCTCCCTGCTCAGACTCCTGGCAGTAACTTATGTGTCGTGTTTTAGACCCTTCGAGAACGGAGAAGCGTGAGATTAAGTGTCCGACGCCAGGCTGTGACGGCACCGGCCATGTGACTGGGCTGTACCCTCACCACCGCAGCCTGTCTGGCTGTCCCCACAAGGACAGGATCCCCCCAGAGAGTGAGTAGTTCTGCCTGGTGCTGACCAGGATCGGAAGCTCAGGCCCCTTCTGTGGTGTTGGATGGTGTCTAGGGGGAGCGGCCTGCTGAGATGCCGACCTTTTTGTCCAGCTGCTCTTCCTCACCCCTCCTCAAGCTGCCTAGCCCATTCCTGAACCCTGAGGGGCTGGAGGCCACCTGTCCAGTTGCAAACCTAGAGGTGTCAGCCTGGGTCAGAGCCCCAGAGACCCCATGGGTGCAGATGGACAGGCTGAGCTGGGAAGGTGGGGTTCTTGGAGTTACGGCCTCTGCTCCGAAGGCTCAGGAGGTAGATGCCTGCCTTACTCCGAGGGTAGAGGCAGCGACTGATGATTAAGTATGCAGCAGGGCAGGGACCATGGTGGGAGGGGGCATGCTGTGACCAGGCTGAGGGGAAAGGCTCTTGGAGGCTGGAGCTGCCCTGAGTTGTTGCCCCAAGCTGCCCAGTCCCTGTCTGCTCACGAAGCTGCAGCCTTTGCACAGGACCCCTGCGCCCTCCTTGGCCCGTCTCTCCCAGCGGCCACGCCTGCACTCACCTACCCCCCACCCCACTCTCTTACAGTCTTGGCCATGCATGAGAATGTGCTGAAGTGCCCCACCCCTGGCTGCACGGGCCAGGGCCACGTGAACAGCAACCGCAACACACACAGGAGGTACCTGGGCTAAGCTGGGCAGGGGGATCCGCGCTGGGCCTGAAGCCTGTCCCTCTGGGACAGGGCTCTGACCTGATGTGTAGCCCCTTGAATGTCACCTTCCTTCCAGCCTGCTGCCCTGAGAGTGGGTGGAAGGTCCAGGCAGCCTGGGATGTGCAGGGCCTCTGTGTGGGCAGAACTACACCCGCGTGGGTCACCCAGTAGCGTGGCTGCCTGCATCCCTGTGAGCTGCAGATCCCAAGAGACCAGAGAGAGCTCACAGAGGGGTCTGTCTGGAGAGGTCTAACCTTGTGTGGGAGCCAGGTGGAGCCTGTACCCTGCCCATATTTGGAAACCTCAGTGCCTCAGGCCCTCCCCTGGATGGAGGGAGAGGGCAGACACCAGCAGGAGCCTCCGGATGCTGAGCCCTGGGCAGGCTGAGGCAGTGAGAGGGCCAGGCTCACCTTCCACAAACCCAGAGCACTGCAGACGGGCAGGCCTCGGGGGTGTGCCCTGCCCCTGTGGGTACAAGCTAGGCTGTGCCTGTGTGGGACTGCTGGAGTCTTCAGAGTCTCTTTACTTGAAAAGAGGCCAAATTTCTGAGCGATGTGGTCTTGATACTTCTCCACGATGGCCCCAGGGCTGATGCTGGAGCTTGCTGTCACCTCAGCTCCAGCTCTGACGTGACACTCCCCCCACATCTAGATGAGGTGGAACGAACGGCCTCAGGGTACGTACCTAGGTTGTGGTCTGGTGGGGTCCTGGGCTGCTCCAAGCTGGCTAACAGAACAGGAGCCCAAGATGGTTCTAGAATGCAGCCCTGGGCACTGCTGGGGGGAGAAGGGAGGCAAGGGGCAAGCCTGTCACTCAGACTGTGCAGGCCTGTGGGATGTCTCGCTTTTGTGTGCCACTGGTTTGGCACTTCCCCAGACAGCAGCCGACCACACAGCCCATGCTCTGCACGGAGGACAGGCTTGACTCTGGCCCGGGGTTCTTGTGGGCCTTGAGCTCTCCAGTCTGAATGTCATTGTTCCAAGGCCTATGTACTGGCCAGCCAGGATGGGGTAGGTTGCAAAGGAGACTCATATGTTCCTCTTCGTCCTTCCTCTAGCTTGTCTGGATGTCCTATTGCAGCTGCCGAGAAATTAGCCAAATCTCATGAGAAGCAGCAGCCACAGACCGGAGACGCTTCCAAGAGCAGCCCCAGCTCAGATCGAATCCTCAGGTGAGTGCGTGAGCCAAGGGGTGAAGGGCACCTCCCCATGCCAGCAGGGTCTCCAGGCTCGCCTAGTCCGTGTGTACACATGCCCATGCATGTGCCAGCGTGCTCACATCCTGGGGGCCCTCAGTGGCAGGAACAAGCAGTCCCCAGGGTATAGGAAACTGGCCTGCTGCCCTCGCATAGCTCCTCAGCCCATGCAGCCCGGGCAGACCTCACACAGCTGTCCTGGCCACAGCCGATCTGCCCTGCTCTCCCCAGAGACATCGGATCTGACCACTTGAGACTTCAGGGATTCATTCGACAAGAATCTTCTGTCTGGAGGGAGCAGACTACACCAGCTGAGCCCTGGCTCTGAAAGTCCCCGACCCTCATATCTGGTGGTCCTTCTCCCTCCCCCAACCCAGGGCTTGACCCCAGCCAAGCGAGGCTTCGGTCTCCATAGTACTGCGTTTTCTGTGGTCCCTTCAGTTCTGAAACGCAGTAGACACATGTGCACATATGTGCAGGGATGTGCGTGCATATGTGCAAGTATGTTTAAATACATGTAGACATGGCTCTTGTCAATGAGACTGAATGCATCTGCTTAGCATCTGCGTGACCCTGGGAAGTGGGTGCGTGTCGCAGAGTGAGGGACTCAGGGTTCACTCAGTTGGCGTGATTTCTCCATTGCAGGCCCAGCCCCCCGCTCACGGGGACCGGCTGTCAAGGAGGCTACCTTACCTGCTCCTTTCCTTGCCCGCTGCCTCCCTAGTGGGCCCTGCTCCCCATTCTTCTTGTTTCCTGCTCCTTGGCTCTTGGGCCTATTCCATATCTGTCTCCCCAGACAAGGTTGTGGAAAACAGAGCCTTCCTACTCAGCACAGTCCCCCGACTCTTGCCTCCTCTCAGGGTTTACCAGACCCCTTTCCCATCACGTGCCTGGATGAGCCCTGGATGACTGACTGTACTGCAGCAGCCTGGGCCCTTGCCTAGCCTGTCCAGAGAGGCCTTAGAAGGGGCAGCCGCACACATGGGTCCTCTGGGTGGGATGCTTTGCTTCCCACTGGTGGCAGGTCTGCCACCACCCATCCCTGGGGCTCCTGCAACCCGTAAGTCCTGGCTGGCTTCTTCCAGTCAGCTACTCTCACTAGGTTCCAGTCTGTCTCCTGTCATATCTTCTTTTCCTTCTATTTCCCTGTCAGTAACTAATTCAATCAATTCCCTGCCTTGATCTAAGTCACTGGTAAAATTTCCAACCAGGCAGGAGAGCAGCCAGGGAAGGCCCAGCGAGGGAGTCAGGGCTTAGCACTGGCTGAGCTCCCTGGGACTTCGGCCTCGGCCTGTGTATGAAAGTGGAGTTCCCAGTGTCTGAAGCAGCCTCTTGCCTCCTATAGCCCAGGCTGTTCACTTGCTGGAGGCTGGTGACCGAGGCCAGGGCACAAGAGGTCCCTCAAGTTTTGTGGGGTCTTTCTGGCCCACATTTTTGGCCACATCCTGGGGTATGGGAAAGGCTTGCCAAGCTTTTCTGGCATCTGAAATACTAAGTCTGTGGACTGGCTGAAGGCCACCCAGAGAAGGGCTTCATCTAAATGTGGCATTGATGTTAAGCTCGGTCTTCTCCTGGCTGCTGCCTGCTGGCCTCACTTGCAGCTTTCCCGGGTGCTGCTGGGCCAGGCTCCAGCCACCTGCCCTCCCCAGTGGTGCCCAGGCTTCCCTGGCCTGAGGTGGCTCTGTGCACCAGGCTCTGTCCTCAGGCCAGGTTCTGCAGTGGCTGTGCAGTGGAGGCCTCGCCATTAGCTCCCGAATTCCATCAATGGTCTTTTCCAGGCTGAAGTCACTGCTTGGTCAGAGAAGAACAAAGAGAGCTAGGGAGTGGGGTGCTTGCTGGGGTGTCTTTTCTCCTCCCTTCACTGATCTGACCGAGGCAGGAGCCCTTCTGTGCCCGGTGTGGTTACTAGCCTCCCCCGATAGTCTTCCTGCCTCCTGTGCCGTCTGATCGATGTCTTCCTGCCATTTTGGAGCATAGGGACAGGGAAGGCTGCAGTGGCTTTTCATGCCTTCAGGAGTCCTTCCAGCAGCCTCTCCAGGGGACTCTCAGCCCATTCTAGGAGAGTGCTGAGGGCGGAGGCCCTGCCTGAGGGAAGAGCTGGGTCTGTCTCAGCCCTGAGGCTGCTCTTCAGAACAGACCCTGCCGTAGGGTTCTCAGAGTGACCTGTTGTTGTCCAAGAGTAATGCCGCGGGCGCCCTATACCTGGCTGAGTTGTTTAAAAACCGATTTCCTAAGTTCTGGAGAAGTCTCAGGCCATCTCTCCTCTAATACCTTCAGCGTAAGGAAATGCTGTTGTTTCTTCAAGAGCACAATTTATCTTTCCTGGCAATTCTTCCTCAAAGTGATCACAGGGCCTGTCCCAGGTATCCTTTGCTCTGGGAGGTAGAATTCTGACCTGGCTTTGATGGTGAGAATTGAGAATTTGGGGTGGGGTTGGGACTCTCCTTGGGTCTCTGTTCTCACTGAGCTCCTTGGGTTCTGCCTGAGATGGGGGGTTGCACAGCACAGCACAGCACAGGTCTCCGGGCCCCATAGGCTCTGTATCTCTGTCTCCCCAGGCCCATGTGCTTCGTGAAGCAGCTGGACGCCCCTCCATATGGGAGCTACAGGCCCAGCGCAGCCCCTGCCACGCCCAGGGCCAACTTGGCCAAGGAGCTGGAGAAGTTCTCCAAGGTCACCTTTGACTACGCAAGTTTCGATGCTCAGGTTTTTGGCAAACGCATGCTTGCCCCAAAGATTCAGACCAGTGAAACCTCACCTAAAGCCTTTCAATGTAAGTAGGGGAGAATCGTTTCTCTTCCTGTGTTGCTCCTAGGGGGACCGTGGGGAGCTTCCTCTGCCTAGCAGGGGACCGGGACGGAAGCGGGTGGACCGCCCCAGAACACCTCTTGACCTTTCTTGGGGTCTGCTCCTCACCCGTGTTGCTGCCTCCATGTCACCTCTGACCTGTGTGTCCCCTGACTTACGTAAAACCCAGACCCTGATGGGTGTGTGTCTCAGGACTGGAGGATCACTTCACTGCTGTGGTCCACCCTGAAGGAGTCGTCTCCCTTCACCCTGACGGCTCAGGGTCTCCCCCAGCATGGCCCCTGGGGTGGCTCTGTCCATCTTGCCCTTGATGGCCCTTTGGTTTCCCATGCGAGGACCCTCTCACTGGACCTAATGTGTTACTTATGACACTGGAGACACAGCTTCTGGGTAATTGCACGGAAATCGTTCCAGCAGATCTTTCCTTGTCACTTACTGCACTAATTTGTGGACTGTGAGCCTGTTGGCTGTGGAAATGCTCAGGAGTGGGAAAGTGCCCTGAACGCGCAGTTCAGATTGGGGTTCGCATCTCCCAGGTGGTGGGTGCTATCAGCCCTGCTGCGGTGGTGGCAGAGTTTCTGCTGCTCGCAATGCAAGCCCTGATGGACGTGGGTGCGAACCTCTCCCTCGCTTCAGCAGAACCTGCTTGTCAGGCTCCTGGCCTTTGGGTCGACCAGTGCCATTCCTGGGAAAGACAATGGCTCATGCTTCATTGTGCTCACTGGACGATGCCCTTCATGAGGCAGTGACTCCCGCTGGGTACCGGAGGATGCCATGTGTGCTGACACTTCTGAGGTGGTGAAGCTCCAGTGCTCGCGCTGTGTACGGACTCCTCCCAGCTTTCAAAAGCACAGGCCGATCAGACGAGTCATTGCTGTCTGAGGCGTCAGTGCTCCTGAATGTTGCAGGAGGGTTTTCCTCTATCTGCTTGAATTTTGTTCAGGCCAGGAAAGAGATTGCTGCCCCCGTGCCTGCAAGGAGCGGCGTGGGAGGGAGAGGGGTGCAAGGGCAGGGAGGGCCAGCTGGCAGCCCCTCAGCTTCTTAAACACAGCCACACTTGGGCCCTAGCTGTCCCAAAGTCCCTTCTGATTTGTGCCATTGCCACCTCCATTCAAGTTGCGTGTCAGTCTGGTGCTTTCGCTCTCTGCAGCCCAATCTTTCCCAAAGGCCTCCCCACCCAGCACAGCCCTCTGGTAGTCAGTAGTCGTGTGAGACACCCTCCCCCTCTTCTGCAGGCTTCGACTACTCACATGATGCCGAGGCTGCACACATGGCCGCCACCGCCATCCTGAACCTCTCCACACGCTGCTGGGAGATGCCGGAGAACCTCAGCACGAAGCCACAGGACCTCCCCAGCAAGGTCGGTGTCCCCTAATCCCCAGTTGGGATTGGCAGTCAGATCAGCTACTGGTGCAAAATGTCTCAGGAATGACCAGGGTCCTGCTTTCCTCCCTCCCAGCCGTGGCCCCAGTGTGCGGAGGTGGGCTGAGCCCCATGTGCTCTGCCAAGGGGGCCACGGGCCGTGTGTGCTATGCTTGTCTCCTGCAGTCTGGGCATCGTCAACACACTTGTGGCTCCGAGCCTTCCTGGTCTCACCCACTGCCCGCAGGTCTCGGGGGCTGGTTTGTGCAGCCAAGAGGCCTCTTTCACTGGAGGTCAGGGAGTGGCGGCTGGGTCCTCCCCTCTCAGTGATGTCCCCGTCACTCTCCTTCCTTCCTTGGGACTAGTGCTCTGGGTTCTGTGAGTCTCATCGAAATGTATGTGAAGGCACACCTGGGAAGGGGCTGGTGTCCCCACACAGATGTCCCCTTATGATTGCAGCCTGTGGACATCGAGGTGGACGAGAATGGAACCCTGGACCTGAGCATGCACAAGCACCGCAGGCGGGACAACGCCTTCCCGGGCGGTGGCAGCTGCAGCAGCAGCCCTGGTGTCAAGTCTCCTGACGCCTCCCAGCGCCAGAGCTGCGCCAGTGCTCCCAGCAGTTCCATGACCTCTCCCCCATCCAGCCAGGCCTCCCGCCAGGATGAGTGGGACCGGCCCCTGGACTACACCAAGCCCAGCCGCCTGCGTGAGGAGGAGCCTGAGGAGGTGGGTGCTGGGCCTGAGCCAGCTGTCGGGCAGCTGCTGTGGCTGGGCTTCCCTGAGTGAGGCGGCCGCTCCGCAGAGGGCCCTTCACCCCTGGTAATTGAAACCCACTGTGCCCCCTCCCCCTGAAGGGTTTCCACCCACAGAGATATGCTGCAGCCTTACCCAGAGTGGACGTGTATTTTCACCGCTGTGGCCTGTGCTAGCCAGCAGCAGCGTGGGTGCCCCAGGGCCTGGGAGCAGGAGGGCTTCTTTCAGATCCCACAGAGACGATTGGGCCAGGCAGTGAGGAAGCTCCTGGCCTTTGGCTTAGAGCCCCTGGCAGGGACAGTGGCCCAAGTCCTTGAGACCAGACCTCACCTACTGCTGGTGGGTCTGGGAGCAATGGGACCTTGTTTTTTGACTGTTGACCTATTTGACAAGTGAGTGAACAGCCCATCAGATGTGGACTCCTCTGGGCTCTTCCCCAACGAGGTGTCCTGCAGGGCACAGTCCAGATCTGAGGAGCAGGGCTGGGCATGTCAGCTGCTTAGGGAAGAGCCCCTGTGGAGGGTAGGGGGCCAGACCTCTCAAGGTGGCCTCTCCTGAGCCGTGCTCTCTCATCTGGCCTCATGTCACCCTCAGGTGGGCCCATGATCACCCCATCTCACAGAGAAGCATACTAGGACCCAGAACAGGTCATGGGGCTTGGTCGTCGGAGCTCAGTTCAGTATTAGGTCCAGAAGGGGCTGGCCCGCACGTACGAGGAAGGCTGTGTCGGAGCTGTGTCTATCTGAGGCTACCACGGCCACCTTTTCCATAACTGGTGGGAGCCCTTGGAGGCAGGGCTGTCATTCTGTGTGGAGCTCTGGGCGGTGTCCCTGCTCCTGCTCTCAGCCTCGGGCCTAGCTTTTGATGTTTGCGTCCCACTTGCAGGACTCAGCCGCCACCACCCCTCCTGTCCTGGCTCTGAGTGAGTAGGGGCACACCCTCTATCCTGGCCCTGCAGTTCACCCACACATTCCACCTGCCAGCTGTGCCAAGGTCCACTCTGCAGCCAGACCCTTGGCTCATCCTAAAACCCTTTTTCTCCTCCCACTCATTCCTGGGTCACCCCCAGAAGTGCCCGTGGAGCCTGGCCTTTCCCTGACCCTCTGCCACTGACCTGGTCACCCCCAGAAGTGCCCATGGAGCCTGGCCTTTCCCTGACCCTCTGCCACTGACCCGGTCACCCCCAGAAGTGCCCATGGAGCCTGGCCTTTCCCTGACCCAGGCCTCTCCCCGACCCCCTGCCCCTGCCCGGGTCACCCCCAGAAGTGCCTGTGGAGCTTGGCCTTTCCCCGACTCTCTGCCACTGACCGGGTCACCCCCAGAAGTGCCCGTGGAGCCTGGTCTTTCCCCGACCCTCTGCCACTGACCCGGTCACCTGGTGGTGTAGCTTGGCCTGACATGCCCCCTGCCTCAGCGGCAGCCCCTCCTCACCATCCCCAGGGACTACAGGCCTCTCATGTCCATGGGCTCTGAGATACTGTCCCTGCTCTGGAACAGTCCCCTCCCCTCTGCTATCCATCCTGAAGACACAGCTCCACATGTCCTCTGGGGGCCCCTGTGGCTTGCTCCCTTCCTCAGCTTTGCTCGAGTGCAGTAATAGGGGCCATGACAGCACCCAAGTTGTGGACAAGCCCCAGGCATGCCCTTGGGTCTGCCTTGATGCTGGGTTTGTAGGTATTTCCTTGGTTTCATCTCCAAAACCTAGAGGGGGTTGTGACATTTCAAGGTTAGAATGTAGCATCTTGGCCCCGACATACTGCAGGCAGGTGTGTTGCTGATGTTTGAGCCTGGGTTGCAGCTGCCATGCAGGATGCTCCGCTTTCTGCCCCTGATCCCTCCCTCGAGGGACCATGCCCTCGTCCCCCTGTCCACAGGGCCAGGCCTGCGTGTGGGGAAGACATGCCCTTCAGCTCTAGCAGGTCAGCACTAAGGTTGACAAGGTGCCTGTGAGGCCGGGCCAGGTCTCCAGGTCGCTGTCTGTGACAACCTGTAGACCACTCTCGCTATGCCACATCACCCTGTGACCTTTCCACAGGCTCATTTGGGACCCACTGTCTCCTGAGAGCCCTCCCTGTCTCCGAAGGGAACGGTAGCCTGGAGGTAGCCACACACCGAGGCCTAGGAGGACAGCGGGTGGCTCAGGCTGATGTGGGCAGGGTGTGGGCCCCTGTGGCTTGTGAGGGCTCAGAGTGTTCCTCCCTGTGTAGCATCTGCCTCTGTGGACACCACGTGAAGGCCCCTCTCCCCCACCTGCCGGGCTGAGTGCCCGGGCCCGCCAGCCCGTTAAGTCGTCTCCCCGCTGGTCTCTTGCAGTCAGAGCCTGCAGCCCATTCTTTTGCTTCTTCTGAAGCAGATGACCAGGAAGTGTCAGAAGAGAATTTCGAGGAGCGGAAGTACCCGGGGGAAGTCACCCTAACCAACTTTAAGCTGAAGTTTCTCTCCAAGGACATAAAGAAGGAGCTGCTCACGTAAGTCCCTGCCCTGGTGGCTCTGTCTGGGCCCTCCTCTGTCCAGGAAGGCGGCTGACCCTGGTCCCAGTTGTAGTGACCTGCAGCTGTGACCAGGGTTTCCTGTCACGGCTATGCTGGCTGGGCTCTAACACAGCCTCTGAGACCACCCCAGAATGAGAAGGAGCCCGTGGCCCAGCTCTCGAAGAAGAATAGACAGAACGGGGTGGGGTGGGGCTGGGAGAGCTGAGAGCAGACCCTCATGAGCAGGCCTTGGGTGCCCAGGCACGGCCCCTTCCCGAGGTACAGCTGGCAGTCTGCCCTGAGCCCCGTGCCCACCACCCTCAGCAATGGCAGCTGGCTGGACCCCCAGGGCTGCCCCTCTGAGCTGATCCTCACTGAGTGAAGCCCATAGAGCTGCTGGAAGACCCCAGTCTTCCATTTTCAGTGCCACTGGTTTCATAGTCACCCCTCCTTGTAATGACCACCCTCACCCTGAGAGTCTGCACCTGGAGCTCGTGCCCCAGACACACAGCCCGCCCCGGTCCTAGAGCTCAGGCCTGGAGTCTTTCCTCTCCCCACCCTGTTTCCCAACCCTCTGGTTTCCCTGACCTGGGCTGGGCCTCTCTGGGAGGACTGGCCTAGCTGTGGCCCGGAGCCTAGACCTGGGAGGCCCAGCTCACACAGGGCTCATGGCACACACGGCAGCCTCCACGGATGCTCTAGAGCACTCTGCCCCCAGTCAGCTGCAGCCCAGTCCCCTTTCCCTTCTAGAGCTGAGTCTTGTGGGTAAGCTTCCAGCCCCGTAAGTGAGGGCTGTATTCTGAGGGAGGAAAGAGCCACGTGACTGCAGGAGAGCCAGGAGGGAAGTTGGCCGCCTTCCGAGCAGACTCGCCCCGGGGCAGGCCTGCAGGTGTGTGCTGCTCCCCATTCTGATGCTATTTTTCCTTTGTCCAGCTGTCCCACCCCTGGCTGTGATGGCAGTGGCCACATCACCGGGAACTATGCCTCCCACCGCAGGTTCGTCCCCGCTCGGGTCTGGCCTGACTTGGCCTTGGTGCTTCGCGGTGGGTCTTCCTCTTCTCCGCCTCTGCTCCCCTCTCTGGCTCACCCCGATGTCCCATCTCTTCTCTTTCAGCCTCTCTGGTTGCCCTCTTGCTGACAAGAGCCTCAGAAACCTCATGGCTGCCCACTCTGCTGACCTCAAGTATGTCTGCGCTCCCTGACCTGTCTCTTGGGCTTCACTCTCTCCTTTCATGAGGCTCCTGCTGTAAACGGACTTCT